TTAAAATTATGGAGGCAGCCTAGAGTTGCACCCTTACTAAAACCCGGCAAAGACCCAGACAATCTGAAAAATTACCGACTAATATCACTCCTCTGCCAGCTCTGAAAGGCACTAGAATGGATAATTCTCAATTCTATCTCTAAATTTATTGATGGGAAAATCATAGAGAGCAAGCATGTTTTTGACTCGGGAGGTCATGTCATGGCCAAATCCTAAACTTTACGCAACATATTGAGGGAGGTTTCAAAAGAAAGCTAATTACAGTGGAACCTCCGGTCATGGCTATAATCCGTTCCAGGGCTTTGGTCGCAACCCGATTTGGTCATGACCGGAAGCAAGACAGACTGCGCTTGCACATACAAAAAATGGCGCAGAAGGGGAAATCACCATGCCAGGTAAAATCGCCATGATTGTGTTGGATCTCCTCCCGAGTATTTGTTCATTACCAGATGCAAAAAAATTGCCAAATTTTTGGTCGGCACCTGATTTGGTGATGGTCAGAAGCGTTGTGACCTGAGGTTCTGCTGTACTGGAATGGTTTTTATCAACCTATATGCAGCATGTGACAGTGTTAACCATAGGATATTGTTATGTCAGCAGAGATCATAAGCTTTCCAGTGTCATTGGTAGCTTCCTCCAGAACTGGAGATTTTATATGATGCTGAATGTTAAGAACAGTAAATGGATGATGCTGAAGAACCGGCTGCCACAGGAAAGTATATTTTCTCTGATATTGTATAACATATTGTATATATGAATGATCAACCAGTCCCCAACAACACATGTTTATTCATCTATGTAGACGATTTAGCAGTGGCTGGACAAAGATCAACCTTTGATGATGTAGCTGAGGAAATTATGGTAGCACTTGATGAATTTGAATGATATTATGCTAGCAACCATTTAAAGCCCAACCCAAACAAGACCTAAGTATGTGCTTTCCATCTTCGATATTGAAGAGCGGAAGAGTTGTGGCAATGGAACTATCTACAGCACTGTCCAACACTGAAATATCATTGAGTAACACAAGACAGGATGCACTCTTTTAAACAGTGCTAAAGTCAGTTAAACAATGCTAAAGTCAGGATACTCTTCTTAAAATAAGGCTAAAGTCAATTCAAGGAAAAAGGTCATCAGGAAATTGATATACATGGGAAGCTCAACCATCTGCATTGTGGACATCAACTTTGGCCTTTAGCATCTCTGATACAGAATATGCTGCTCCAGTATGAAGTGCATCTGCAGACGTGAAAACGTTGATATGTCCATCAATGAAGCAGTGTGTTTTGAAATAGGACATCTCAAACTTATGTGAATTGAGAAAATATATTCTCTCTGACGTTGGCCCATCTAAGATAAAAAAAGGTTACAATAGATGTCAAGAGAACTAAGCAATAGAATGACCCTCAACATCCTCTGAATGCACATGCCCAAAGCCAGTCGATTCAGCTCCAGGAGCAGCTTTATGGCAAGAACAAACATTTGTGAGGATGTGCAAGAATAAAATTGAATTAAAAGGAGGAAGGAAGGAGCAAGGAATCACATTAAAGCAAGATATGGCTGAAGGATCTGACCTACCTTATACCACTTGGAAGACCCTGAATACATTGAGAGTCAGAGTACCTAAGTGTAAAACTAATATGAGCAAGTGAAGGCTCTTAGCAGATACCAACACAGTGTGTAAATGTGGAAAGAACAGAACTAAGCCCATCCGCTGGTATGTCAGATACTACCAGAAACACGTAACAATACTGACTTCTTTTTGGCTTTCTTTTTGTCTCTGGTTGAGGCAAAGCCAAGAAGGTGGCTTCCTTCTGGCAGTTTAAAGTTTGACCTAGACACAGAAGAAGAACTTATACTGCAACTCATTTTCAAGTAATCATTGAGCAATTAGGTTTTTAGCCCATGACTAGCCAAAATTACATAAAATGGTCTATAAAAGACTACATAAAAGGAAATTCTGATTTAAGGACTTCTTCCAAGTGGATCAGAAAGTATCATTTAAAACATAGAAGAACAACCCAATTAGTTTATAGATAGGTTGAAGTCAATCATTTAAAATAATACTAGTTTCCCACTACAGAACTTGGATTTCATTGCTGATCCAACAGAGAGATTGGAATCAGTGGCCTTTCAGATGATGTGAACTATTCCAGTCATCCTGATCTGATGTTGGCTGAAGCTGTTGAGAATCAGAATTCAAAAACCTTTGGGTATGGCTGACCACAATTTTTATCCCCTATTGATAGATATTATTTTATAAATAAGAGAAACCTATTCCATTTTTGACCCCAAATGGTTTACATTAATAGCATAGTTTCTGCTAATAATTTCTGCAAGCATTGAGATTTGGAGCTGGAGTCTTGCAGAAAATGTTGAGTCTTAAGAAGAATAAAAGTTGAGTACACCTAGGCACAGAAAAACATAGTATATGTAACACTAAAAAGTTTAATTAATCTCAACAATTAATTAATTATTGACAAGCATATTTAAGGAAGTATTTCTGCTGAATCATTACATTATTTTTCCTGAATTGAGCAGGAAAGCACCTTAAACTTTCCTTTTCATTAATCAATCAGTAGAATAAAGACACGCCCTAAGGAAACTTTGGTTTTATTTTTATCAATATTCAGAAACAAACATTAATCAGATCATAGTACTGGACACTATCCATTTCTTAAACTCTTAGGATATGGCATTCTACATGCCAGATAGCACCCCGGTAGTAAAAAGGATAGAATGGGAATAATTCGTCTCGCTCCATAATGATGTTTATGCTACACAATTATTTTCTAACAAGCAAGCACACACAGATATTCATGACAAATCATTTCAAAAATATTTCTTACATTATACCCAATGTGGTATGAATATTATGATAGCATATGAAGTAAAAAAAGTTGTTCTTTTTCTCCCCCTTTGCTTTAAAATTCAAAAATTACGTTTCTTCTACTACCAACTTTAGATATACATTTGCTTAAACTTGTTTATAGTGTGATTTGGCCATTAGTAAGGACCAGCCAGATGACTTTACTTTGAAGCTCCTGGAATTTGAGAATTGGCATTTTTATCCTATGGCTGTCCTTCCTCTATGAAAAGAGATCTCTCTAATACAACTGATAGGGTCTTGCCACTAAAGATGTACATTTTTTGAGACCAGATAAGTTTCTTGGATTGTAGCCTGTACATTTCCTCCTTAGGAAAGAATTCAAACTTGCCCACTGTAACAGCAGAAGCATCCTGCCTTTAGAAAACTTTGATTATGAAGTTCAGGTACAAAGAAATGATCACCAAGCTGTTACAGAGACATGCCAAGCTCCTTTCAAGTCCAGCTTTATCTCATTCAACTAAAAGGTACTACAAAGCCCACCCTATGCTTACCAGATGCATCTTTGCCACAGTTCTTTAACAAAGGTGGAGTTCTTTTTCCCAAGATTATCCTAAAGAAGGTCCATGTGATGATGTTGCCAAAGCTCTGGATTCAGGTAGTTGTGGAAAGTATTACTTTTAGACAAGGAAACAGACACAGCCCAGCCAAGATGAATGCAGGGTTTGATGTTCTTAATAACATCAAAATAGCCTCTTTGTCTTTAACCACAGTATTTCTCATGAAAGATAACATATAATTATCTCTGTGTTTATTGAACACGTTCCTCCTTTTGCAGGTCAAGTTTGAACTGTAACACTGCTATGTCTTTTTGAAAAGTTTCTCAGTGGTTCAGCTGGCTACAAAGATTGTGAGCAGCCAGCTTTCTGGTTCCCTGTTAATTGGGAGTCTGGACTTTAATAAACTGATGCAATTATGAGGATTCTTATTCCATGTTCCAACTAGTAATCTACATACCAATCTTTTTTGCCCCCAGATTTTTATTCCCCACCTTTAGCAAACAACAAGCATCCTGCCACAATTCTTTGTGCTACTTTCTTGTAAGCTATTGGTTTGTTTAACTCTTTAGGATTTTACTTGCTATTTTCCTTCTCTTCAACCTTGGGGTCCAACACTATACACGCTAACAGTTCTGCTCCTTCTTAATGTTCCCATTTTAAGCCCCCAGGTCATAGCAGTGGGGGGTTCAAATTTTTGTACTACTAGTTCTGTGGGCATGGCTTGGTGGGCATGGCATGGCTTGGTGGGCATGGCTTGGTGGGTGTGGAGGCAGGGGAGGGATACTGTACAATCTCCATTCCCATCCCACTCCAGGGGAAGGATACTGCAAAATCCCTATCAGCTGGGACTTGGGAGGCAGAGACTAGATGGGGGAGAAGCCAGTCAGAGGTGGTATTTATTGGTTCTCCGAACTATTTAAAATTTCTGCTACTGGTTCTCCAGAGCTGGACAGAACCTGCTGAATACCACCTCTGGGTCATAGTTTTTAGGCTGGATTTTAGCATCCCCAAATGAAACCTACAAAGTATGGTAGCAGAGTGTGGTGGTTTTCTTCAAGAAGGCCTTCTGCTGTACCTTCTAGAAGTGCATTAGATAAGTCATTCCCTCTCACTCTTCCTACTTCTCCCTTTCTTCCACGGTAGCCATTGAAACCACTGAATGTTTTCAGTCCTGACTTTAGCTTTCTCTCCCCACCTTAGAATATAATACATTAGCTGATTGATTTATAATTTATAGATTTTAGTAAAATTTATAATTTTACAAATGTTATGGTTTATATAATTCTCAGATACCCTAATGCCTAGTGATACTAAAGACCAGAATCTTTAATTGGTACCAGTTATTTCACCATCCAGGAAATGCTAAGAAAACAGACAAGGAAGGCATCGCATTTCTTTTCCCTTCCTTTGCTGCTATTACATAGGCATTCTCTTCTTTGTTTGTTATCAGAGCTCCTTCTCTTAAATTGAGGGTGAGAGTTCATTTCTCGGTGACTGGTACATTAACTTTCTGGTTGCTGAGTCAGAGAGAAGATAGCCACACCTGCAACTTTAGTTGTGCTGGGAGTGGTTTGACGTGGTATCAGATTAAGGCAGTCTTCTCCCCTCCTTCTTTCTGTTCTGATTAAACTCTCCTTAATCCTGGAGACTATCTGTGAAATGCAGTTCCTGTTTTTTCACAGGTTGTTATTTAGTTTTTTTCTCCACCATTGCAGGAAGTCTGACTTAAAATAGGGCTGCAGACATTAAGGCTGTAATTGCCATGTGGAAACCCTGCATTCCTGCTGTTTTTCTAGGGTGAGGGTAGATTTGTGCCTCTCCTTCCACAGCCCTTCATGTGTGTCTGGACAAGTGGCGGAGAGTGACGTGACTCACACACACAGGGCCAGCACTGATTCATGCCGGGAGGCTTTCTCCAGCCATGCTGAAGCAGATCCTGTCCGACATGTATGTGGACCCAGAGCTCCTGGCTGAGCTCAGCGAAGAGCAAAAGCAGATATTGTTCTTCAAGATGAGGCAGGAGCAGGTCAGAAGGTGGAAAGAAAGAGAAGCAGTAGCTACCATCCCAAAGCCAGCACTGAACAAAGGTCAGTGTATGACCATTTTCTTTCTTATTTCTTGTCCAGAATTTTATCGCACTTTGACTTCAAGTTTGCCATAGGATAAGTTTTGATGGTGTTATTGAATGAAAAAGCAATATTCTGTAGCTTTAGATGATGTGTGCTTTTACACAAATCATTAAAAATTTAATCTGAATAACCAACTGATTAGAAAAGTGAGTCTTTTTCCTAAATTTTAAGTATGAAGTGAGCCAAAGATCAGAATGACCAGCGGTTAAGCAAATTTGACAGGAAGACTTTTTCATAGTTTCCTCGTAGGGAACATCTATCCACGTGGCACTTTGTCCAGGACTCATCCCTCTCAAACACTTTGAAGCAAACCTGTCAATTACCATTACTCCTTCTTGCTGCAGGACATTGAGAATACAATAAGCCAGTTCAGCTGGCCAAGAGGACCCCACAGAAAGAATAGGGAGCTCTCCACCTGAGCTACTTCTGGTGCAATAAAAAAAAACCACAACCCCTGCAGCATTATTCCACAGGAAAAGGAAATGAAATATTGTAAATTGCTAGCATTGCCCTTCCATTCCATAAATGTACATGCACATTTGAAGTTTTTGTGGAACGGAATAGGTGAAGATAAGGAGTATTTGCAATGTGGTGAGGCTTCCTGGGAACCAATCCCATTGATTGTGGTATTATATTATGTCACATATGTTGCAACCAAGCATTTTTTTTCAACAATCAGGTTGTTGATTGTAGCCACAATCAACAGGAAAAGGATCCCATTGGGATGGCTGCAAGGCAGAGGTGGTATTCAGCAGGTTCTGAACTGGTAGTGGAAATTTTGAGTAGTTTGGAGAATGGCTAAATACCACCTCTGGCTGGCCCCACCCCCATCTATTTTCTGCCTCTGCCAACTGATTGGGAGGAAATGGGGATTTTGCAGTAACCTTCCCCTGGAGTGGGGTGGGAACGGAGATTTTACAGTATCCTTCCCCTGCCACGCCCACTAAGTCATGCCATGCCCACAGAATCGTTAGTAAAAAAATTTGAAGCCCACAGTGTGATTGAAGCTACATGATGCATATTAAAAAAACAGGCAATAAAAAATAAGTAGCTTATTACTTTGCACCCAATCCTTACGGTAGAGTTGGGATCAGCCAAAATTATTTACTTTTCATTCCTGCTTATTACGCCAGCCTTTTCCACTCCAAAGTACAAATAACAGAGGTGACAGTGAGTCACTTTAGAAGTCACTTTCCTGGCCTAGAAAATCAAATGTAAATGCCCCCCCCCCCACCTGTTTATAGTGTGGAATATGTTACTCTTTTCAGTGGAATATGGAAGTTGGAGTTAGAGGGAATTTTATCACTGCGGAATCTTAGGGTGTTATAGTTATTTTTATTTCTATTTCTCACTGTTCAGAAGTAAAGATGAATAGAAACTGCATTCAGACTTCCTTGTAGAGGTTTCAGAAATTAAAGTCTCATGGTGAACAAAGAATTGCCCTTGTGTTTCATTCTTTTGCAGAGGATCAGGAGATTTTTCTGCAGGCTAAAAATAGATGCAAAACAGAGGGTGATATGCTGCTGGTATCTTTTAATTGTTTATGTGCCATGAAGTTGTTGTAGGCGCTTAGTGACCACATAGATTTTTCTTAATGATGAAACATGCTAGTTCTACATAAAGTACTTTTAAACAAAATAATAGTTGGCAGCCACATTATATGAAATAAGATGGCAAGGAAAGGAAAATGGATCCAGGAAAACTCAGTGCATCCACTTCACTGCTGCCAGCTCACCATCACCAAGTTGCCTCTGTCCACTCATAGCAACCATGTCGCCACTTACCGTGGGTGGCAGGAGGAAGAGCTGGATGGGCAGGCAAGCAAACTTGGACCGGGGGCTTCCCATTTTCATATCTCCTACTACCTCCCCTGCCACTGGAATGAAGAGGCTGGGGGGCGACAGTGGCGGTGTATGGAATGGGGAGCAGGGAGGTGGTGGCCGCTGGGGGCATCCATTTTCACAGGAGACTTTTTAAAAACAAGTTGTGATGGTCAAAATAAATGTACTTTATTGAGCTCATTGACCAGTTTTATGTATCACAAAACATGGAATTTGTGATATAAAACAGGACTATTTAAATCTTCTTCCCGTAAGATACCCATTGGCTATGATAGAGGGATTTCTCTCTATCTAATTTCATGAAGATGTTTTGCAGATGGCTTTGAAATAACAGTTAAGATAATTGAGGGTTTGGATAATAGTATTTTCCATGACCAGCATCTGCCTAAATGTTTAATTAGATGTTATCTCTATATACTTTGCTCATTTTAACGAGCAACCCATACTGTAATTTCTATTACTTTTGGGTCTCTTTAACTAGAGGTGGAACTAGGAGTTATGACTGCAATGTCATTACCCATGTCTGAAATATATTGATATTATATAAATTATATTTTTATTATATTTTTATACAATATAATTTCCATTTCTTGGAAGAATAATTTATGTCAGCATTAGGAAGCTCAACAAGGCTCACAAGCAAGATAGAATAAATGGTACTAATTAGATATTATTATAATTGGACAAAATCATGAAATTATATAAGGAAAATAATAACAACTATTTTCAACAATTGCACCGTTAAGCTTTTTTTCAAATGTCTTCAGTGTTGGAGACATGTAATTACATATGCAGACAAGGCCCATTCAGATTCAATAAATAGAAGGCACAGCAAGAATTGTTCAGTGAAGATCAGAATGTACTGTGATTTATGTATTTATAAATTCCTAGAAGTATAAAATCTGATCTTAAAAACAGTGGAAGGATAATAAAAAAGACATAATTCAAAGTGCTTATATAAAATAAAAAACATCTTCCAGCGCACATATCTATAAAGCCCTATTTAAAGATGATAGAACAAATAAAAAGCAGTATAAAATACAATAATGGGGAGAAGTATGGACCATATTCATAAAAAATAAAAAAAGAATCTTTTAAAAAAATTATTACAAAATATTAAATTTGGTATGCAACTTAATCAATAATATTCAAGACAGACAAGTCATACATTACTATAATAAACATTGGAAATACCTTGAAATAAACAACATTTTACTATATGCAAAAACCCTTATTGTACTGTACTGTATTATTACTAATTATTGTTTGTATATATTAAATATTTTAATATATTAAAATCTTTAATATGTACAATAATAATAAGTAATAATAATACAGTAGAGACTTTAGTAACAAATAATTTGTTGTATTTTGCAGTTGCTTATTAAAGTCACATTTATCTTTGGATGCAAAATTTAATACTTGTTTCATACTGACAAACAGTATGGGAATTTCCACCAAGGTCCTCTGTTCCGGCGGGAACAGTATTCAAATCTGATTGGTTGAGTGGTCTGACAGCTCCCTATAAAAGGGCTGCTGCCAGACAGAGTCTTTGCTGGATTGTACATAGTTGTCATTTAATAAAGAGCTGTTTGTTGCTGAAGTCTGAGTCTGCCTCATCCATTCACCCGATCTAACACTGGCGACAAAGGTGGGATTGGAAGGCAACTAGGCACCAAAAAGAGCAAAATATAATCCAGCGAGTCAATCCAGCCTGGAGTGAAGCCAGGGCTACCGAGTCTTCAACCAATTTGATGGAAATGCTACAGAGGCAAAGCAGCCCAAAGAGTGCGCACAAAACTGCGGAAGTGCATCGCAAGACTATGGAGCCAGAAGTTTCAGACAGCTATCACATGCGCACTGATCGCAAAGAAACGGCGCAGAAATTCGAAATGCATTTCCTGCTTTGTGCTGGCTGTGGAGGCAACTTCCAGAGATCGGCTTGCCACTTCTGGGATGCCATCTGCCAGTGCTGTGAATGAAAGGGACACATCGCCAGGGTCTGCAGGAGTGAATTCCCTGAACCACCCAAACAACCGAAGGGCCAACCTGCATGCCCGAGACTGCCAAGACAAGGGACATGGCAGCCACGGCCAAAGCAGCCAGGAGTAGAACTCAGCACAACCTTCCAGACTACCATCAGTCAAGCACGCACTCCGCGGGCCAAAAAGCTGAAAGTCCCTATCCTCCTTGAGGGATCGCGATGCTCCATAGAGATTGATACAGAGTCATCATTGATGATTATGTCCTGGGCTATGCTTAAGAAGGCTGTCTGCAACTTGAGGAGGCACAAGCTGAGGGTTCCAGACCTATGCCTGAGCGACTACCAGGGAAACCAAATCCGGGGTCTGGGCCAAGGCACTTTCCGAGTGCAATTCAAGTCCTTTGACGGACTGCCTCCTGTGACAGTGGTTGGCAGAGCCCTGCAGAGCCTCCTAAGCTTGGACTGATTTGAATCCCTGGACCTGGAAGTGAAGGAATCAATGCTGTTTGCGACGAAAGCACTGAGGAGCTCCTTAAGGAGTTCGAGAACGTCTTTGGCACCGGTCTAGATAAGTATGTGGGAGCTCCAATCTCTTTTAATTTGGACCCCAACATAGCCCCTATTAGGCTAAAACCCAGGAAAGTCCCTTTAACTCTCTGCCCTAAAATTGATCTTGAACTGGACAAATTAATTGGCCAGGGAATTCGAGAGCCGGTTGATAACGCATGCTGGGAGACCCCTGCAGTGACCCCGGTCAAGTCTGACAGGTTTGTCCACATCTGCATGGACTACAAGTGCACAATAAACAAAGCTTTACAACAAAGCTCTTATCCTGTGCCCATTGTACAGGACCTACTACATTCCCTTGGCCTGGGAAAGGTGTTTGCTAAATTAGATATGGTGCAGGCATACCAGCATTTGCCTGTAGATGGCAACAGGGTGGAGGCCCAAACCATTGTGATGCATAGGGATGCCTTTAAATGCACCTGGCTACAATTCGGTGTTAGTATTGCCTCCAGACTGTTTCAAAGTGTCATGGAATGGCTTTTGCAGGAGATACCAGGAGTCGTCCCTTATTTTGATGACATTTTGGTATCAGCTGCAAACAAGGCACAACTTTTCAAAAGCCTTGG